TAATTTGGTCTAATGCTTGCCGGCGCATAAGGCTCAACTGGATGATCTATTCTTCTTGATTATCAGGTATTTGATTGACCATCAACATATTTGTTGTATAAGTGAAAAACTCTTTTAGAGTTTCCTCATGTGATGAACAGTCATTCACTGTGGATAGAGGGGATGGTGGCGCCTCTTGTAATTTTGAAGCTGCTAGCGCTCCAAATAAACTTCGAGTGACAAATGGATCACATGGGGGTGGTTTAGAAACAACCTTCTTTTTCCCCTTCTTAATTTTTGCCGTGAATTCAGGCTAAGCCTTAGATTCTGTTTCTCTCAAGACTGAGGAAGGTTCATCTTCATGCACCTGGACCATGTGGCAAGTCGCATTGTCTGATCCTTGAGCTAATGACTATAAGAACTAAAAAGGGGTCCATCTCAAGGAGTGATTTTTGTTGCTTTAGTTTGCCCACCCTCTTGGACCCCCCGATCAGCTTGACCCCCATGCATGCCTGCTTAGCTAGAACCGAGATCACACGCTCCCAAAGGCGCACTTGCCAAAAATCTGAGTTCAAAATGACCACTTGGTACCGACGAGAGGCACACTGGTATAGCTCAAACAATTCAAAGGAAGATTGGTGTTGTAGGCTCAAAGGCATGCCCCCATTTCTTTGGGCGGATCCCAAGATGGCTTGGGTGAGTGGCTTTAAAAACTTGGGGAATGATGTTGCCTCTCGAAGTCTGGCCATGTGATCACGACAACATCCTGAGAGATATTATCTGGCCATTCTTTTTTCAGAGTACAAGGATTCTAAGGGCTTTATTGAGGTTTTAGGGCAAGCTTGACTGAAATTGGGTTATAGGCATGGGTACAGGTATAGGTTTATGGGAAGGTAGGTTTAAGTAACCCTTTATCAAGAACGACACATGTTGGGAGGTCACCAAGCCACCTCCTAACGTTTGGAGGACTGAAACAGATTTCAAGGTCAATTCTTCAGCAGATCGGCTACCCAAACTACGCCAAATAAGGCCACCCATAGTGAGCCTAGCATGGCTGCCACGCTGGGAATAGCATTGTTGCCCACACTGTGGATAGTGTGGGTGCCCATGCTGGGATCAATGTGGCTACCCACGATATGTTACCCACACTAGAACTAGTGTGGCTACCCATCACTAGGGTCAGCGTGGTTACCACACAAGAACCAGTGTGGGTATCACACTGTGGAAGACTGTACCATGTTAGCCTCAGTGTGAGTGCAGGAGACAGAGACGATCAGGCGGCCGCATGGCCCCCGACACGTGCCAATTTGAGGGAGACAGAATAGACACAACCAAGATGAAAAGCCTGGGGTCCATAAGGTCGTAAGTTTGGCATGAACAAACTCGGGCCTTTCAGTCAAGCAGGACCTGAGAAGTCTGGTCTAAGGTGGAGCGGTCCCCAATAGTGAAGGATACAAAACTAGGTTTAGTATAGAGTGCCAATGGGTTTGGAGCTGTGGTTGGGTTAAATTGCCAAAAAGGGGGATCAGATTTCTGCACCCCTTCATATTTGTAAACTAGTGTCAAACTCCATCTTGACACAAGGACTCACCCATGTCCTACCAAAAACCACTCATAACTGTTAGAACTGAGGTGGTTTGATGAATAGTTGGCCCACAAGTGAAACAACATGTCACAGGATCCTGTTGACTTGGCCAAGTCCGAGTTGGACACGATGAGTGCAAGAACACCAGCTCCAACAAACCACAAATAACAATTAAAATAAGTGTTTTGTGGGTCAGAGGATTCACTAGCCCCCACAATCACAAATGTCCATCTTTAAGATGAACATCCATAATTAAAGATTTCAATCCAATGGATAGGAAAATATTATAATAAAAATGTTTTAAAAATCATCATATGCATTTTGAATACATTGTGTTGGGGTGTATTAGAATCGTAGACCATCCATTCTAAGAATTAATAAAATCTCAAAAGCTTTTAGATTAGGTAGAGGTCAATGCTTTTTAAGTTGACAGACTTTTTATGCTTTTGCCCCTTCTCTTCTTCAACTGTTCAACCCTTTTTCTCTCTTCTTGTCCTCCATTTCCAGCCCATTTTCTCTCTCTTTGCCCTCAGCCTTGAAAAAGAACTCCCATTTCTCCCTTTCACCTCTACATATCTTTCAAATCCTTCTATTTTCATAATCCGCCACACCCCATTTTCATCATCCACTATGGTTAATAACAATGGAAGAGTGAGAAGGAGAGAGGAGATAAAAGAGAGAAAACGAGAAGGGTAGAGAGAGAGGAAAGAGATTGATAAGAGTGACGTCAAAGAGATATAAAGGGAGAGAGTGAGTGTGGTGCCTCTAGATAGGGCAGATCAGGATGCGCTTGGTTGGTCTTTCCTGTGAACTTGTGAATAATTAAGAGGGGGGAGAGCTCATCAATGAATTAACAGGTTTACTTGTTGAAGAGGACACAATCATTATATGATGATTAATTTCAATCAAAATGCTGCTGAAATCGTCTCAGTATCAGCAGCAGCAGAAGAACCTGGTGTTTGATTTGTTTGATCAATTTTGATCATAACTTTAATCAAAACTTCTTCCTGAAATCTTGTTGATATTGTTTATAAAAGATATTGAGAACATCATCTTCCAAAGACTTATTTAGATGGAATTAAACCTAAAACAAGCTGCTGTTTAGACAAGTATGAGAAACCAGTAAGAAACTGGTTATGAAATATTAATGAAATTTTCAGTGAATTTTCACTGAGACTTTTGTGTCAAAACATGATCAAATTAATGTTGATGACAGAGGGATATAGAGCGAGAGAGGGGAGGGAGCAATGGGTGGGGAGAGCGAGAGGGAGAGAGGAAGGGAGGAGGGAGGAGAGATAGGTAGATAGAGAAGAGAGGGGCCCTGGGTTTTCTGACAGGTAGAGAGAGAGGAGATAAAAATGAGTTGCAAGAGAGAGAGAGAGAGAGGAGAGGAGAGAAAAACAGGGTGGATAGAGAAGAGAGGAGCCGGGGTGGGCGCCTATGACAGGTAAAGAGAGGAATATTAGTACTTTACACAGTAGAGCTTCCAGGGTATAGGGCTAAAGGAATTCTTTTAAAGTAAAGGGCAAAAAAAATTTATACACCACAACGCGGTGTATCTTTAATACATAGGGCCATTCCATATAATAATACTATCATTTAGAAAAAACAAGTGAGAAACCCTATCCAACACTTGAGCCAGATTATGGATAAATCCTTCTATTGCTACTGAATTGATTAATTACTATAGCAAAAATGAATGGGAAGCAATACACTGATCCACTAATTCCAATTCTCCCAAGTCTTGTCCATTTTAAGAGCAAGAGGCTCATTCCATATGAATGTGAACCTTCACATGATCAATCTCCAGTGTTCGCAAAATTGAACCAGAACGGTTAACCGGACATAGGCCTAGAAGAGATTTAACCAGCCCAACCGGTAAACCGGCCGATTTAACCGCTCTAACAGGGCAAGTCCCGAACGATAAACAAAAATGTTAAAAAAATGAAAAAGATAAAAAAACTACTAAACTATGAAAAACATATAAAGAATGTGATTAAAAAAAAAACACACTCAAATGAAGTTGAAAATTGATGAAAACATGGATTTTAACGAGTTGATTTGTGCCTAGGTTATTTTTAAAATTTTCTAGAAAAAGATAGGAAAATATAAAAGTGAGTATCAATGACGAAATAGTTTTTTAATCTTTACCATAATGTAAAGAATATTAAAATAGTGTTAGAAAATCGAATTGACCAACTCTTTTTTTTAAAGAAAATGATCTCTTTTTTTTAAAGAAAATGATCTTTTTTAAAAAAAATGAAGAAAAAATTATGTTATATATAATATAGGCCCTTATTTTTATCAACTAAGTAGTAACTGCCATATTGGTTGGTCTAGTTGTATAAAAAGAAAATGATATTTTAAAAAAAAAGAAAATGATCTTTTTTTAAAAAAATAATATTTTCTTTAAAGAAAATGAAGAAAAAATGATGTTATATTAAATATAGGCCCTTATTTTATCAACTAAGTAGTAAATAGCATATTGGTTAGTGGGTAAAGGACTTCATTAAAAAATAACGTTGAATGGCATATTGGTTAGTGGGTAAAGGACTTCCTTAAAAAAGAACGCTGGCGGTGGGATTCGAACCCTGATTCAAGTAAAAACTAATCATCAAAACTAACCAATACACCATTCTAATGTATTTGATATAAATTTGCAGTACTATTCTATTTAAAGTTTCAAAAACTAGTTGATCACCAAAACCGGAACCGGCTAACCGGCCGGTTAGCGGTTAGATCAACCGGTTTTGCGAATACTATCAGTCTCACACTCTGCTATTAAAATAATTACTGGAAAGTACAAGTTTTAAGTGCCAAAGAAACCCAACTTAAACAATCTCTTCACTAAGCAATCTTCTAATTATCGTGTCCACTATCCAACATCAATCGACTGTGAATAACACATAAAGGAGTGGTCCTTTCTGCAAAAATAGAAATTTTCTTTTATGATCTATCGTAAAAGTAATAGTTTCACCAAATTAAGGTTAATTTTCAGTTAAAATTAACAATCAATGAAGAGTTAACAAGTGAAAAGTACCTTAAAAGAGCATTGGTCAAACAGAAAAATGAACAATGCTTGTTATTGCATATAAAATGACAACAATCAAAAGCTGATTCATACTATCTCTCAAATAATCACGGAATAGATACAACTACATACACAAGCGCAAACTATGCCTGTAAGAAGCACTGAATATGTCATAACTAAACAAACAATAAATTCAACCTATCACATACATACAACTCTAAACATGTTTTTTCCACTAGATTGCAAACTTCCATGACCATTATTCATAGTACCTCACTCTTTCTACAAGATTATTGGGTAGAATACGCACGGTAGCAAGCCAAGAGTACTAACTGTAATATCATAAAATATGCTGCACAAATTAAAATCCAAAATCCTATCTAACATTAGAAGGTTAGATCATACCTATTCTAGCAGCCTTCCAAAAGAAACCTCGGAACCTGCCATAAGAAGTGAAATTCAAATAGAAGCCCTCTTTATTCAGATCCAGCAAATAAAAAATTACTTAATAAGTAGAGGTTTGCTCCTCGAGCATTAGATTAGGCATGATACACCATGCTGGCAAGTGCATAAGAGTCACAACCTCTTTTATTTAAGATAGTAAAAGTTACCAACTTGTAGGCATACAATAGTGTTCAAATATTTTTCAGGTACTTTGAGGCAGTTGGGCCAGGACTTTTGATTCAACGCATGGAGATTTTATAGAAAGGGTTTCTTGTTTCTTTAGACAAGATTGATGGAAGTTTGTGGAAATTAGATTAATTTTTGCACATTCTAGATACACTTCTTCTTTTTGTATAGTCTATTTTTTTTTTTTTTTTTTTTTTTGAGGAATGGTTAACTTTTCTTTGTTATAGTTTCCCTTCTAACGAATCGACAAAGACAATAAAAAATAATGCAGATTCAACCTACTCCTTTCATGATTAAAAAATAAATATAATAATGAAATTATTTAACAGTACAACCAACGTGATCTACTTCAAATGCATTCCCAATGGAGGACAAGAAGTGTACCAAATTCTGAGATGGATCAGGAAACAAAATCTAAACAGCACAAATGTGCACTCCATTGAGTTACTTGGAGGAAACTCAGTTTGTAATCCTCTCAGACAGAAATGCAAGCATTGGCAAAAGCTTTTGGAAATTGCAACATAATGCTTCCATTGGCCGAGTTCTAGAATCAAGTCCAAATACAAAATCAGGGCCTTGGTTTCAAGTCATATCCCATCCAAAGCCTCTTGGGTATTCAAGTTGATTCTCCTAATACTCATAAATCAACAACGTAATAAGTTTTCCTGATTGTATTGAAAAATATGCTAATCTTACAAGTATATATGGTTTTTTTTGGTGGCAAACATTCACTCTTATGAGTATTATATACAGGTGATGATCTTGATAGGTTTTCCTCGATTGGGTCCTTAAATTCTTCACAGAGATGAGTGTTAAAGGTGATGATTGAAAATCTAACCATCAAATAAAACAAAAGACGACATTAAAGAGTCAAGTATAAGAAGACTCACAATCTTATTTACAGCGAGGATTAGTTAATAGGAAGACATACAAAAGTAAAACTGATAGATCTCAACTCAAAATGGAACAAATTACCAAATTTACTTGGAGAAGAAAAAATAAAGAAGGAGAAGAGCCATGACAAGATTTGGTAATAATATGGAAAATAGCAAAAGACTACATAAGAGTATGAATCATTAAATCAAAACAAAAATTGAGAGAGAAATAAAAAAAGTACCCAATTTTGCGATCAAGGAGCGCAGGGAATATCATCTTGACATAGGTACAGGTGCATATGAAGAGAAGAATCAATGACAGAAATGATTGGAAATTGAAGAGAGCTGACTGCAAAACAGAAAAAGAGAGAGATTAAATATTATCACTTCCATAAATAATATCTCTTCCATATTGCTAATCTTGCTAAAATACAATGAGCTACAAAAAATAAAAGCAATAAGAATCAAACGAAGGGCTCTCACCATTTCAGAAACCCTTAGCAAAAGGAATTACTCGGACTCTCTTTTCCCTGCAACCTTATAGACAGAGAGAGAGCGTGATTGTCTCCAATAGTGATCAGGTAAGCCAACCTTAGATAGAGACAAAGAGATCATCAGGTATGAAATCCCACAACCTGAGAGAGGGCGAGAGAGAGGTCTTCTAACCTAGAGAGTGGGGTGATTTGAAGGTGTTGATAGTGAAGAGAGTGGGGTGATTTGAAGGTGTTGATATTGAAAAGATGAAGCCTTGGTACCTAAAAACTTAAAAAGAGAGGAAGAGGGAAAACTATATTTATTTTTTTGGGGGTAAATAGATCAGTTGGAGTTTGCTTAAGAGAAAACTGACAAGAAAGTAGAGGAAAAAAAAAAAACCATTTTTTGTTGAAATAAAGTAAGCCCTAATTTTTTTCTCTTGAATGCAAACCCTAACTAAAAATAAATCAAATTACAAGATCATCAGAACAATACTCATGAGCACGAATTCAACACAAAAAAAAAAAAAAGAATGAGACAATCACTGTAAGACTGAAACTGATTTGCCCTGAATCTTATCTCACTGTCTCAACTAATTTTCCCTAAATTTTATCTTATAATGGCACCATTTTCTCTCTTTCCCTCTCTACAAAACATGATAATTTCCAAATATCGAATCAAAAAAACCATAAAAAAAATCTGGGACTGTGCTACCATGAGATGGAGCACATCAAAATACAGCCAAAAAATCCTCTTACCTGGCAAATGGGTGCCCTAAATTGTTCTTGTGAAGAATATAAGCACGCTATGATTCGTCAGCATTTGCAGCTGTTTCAGAAGAGAGAGCGAAAAAGAAGGGTTCTGCCGCGAGTGCTCTAGAGAGAGAGAGAGTGAGAGAGAGGAATATTGGACATAACGGTAGAGAGAG